GTTCGCCAAGTTCTTGTCCGACTTACAGAATTACTTCGCCTCCGTTGAGCTGGGCGGTCGTCCTCGTCACTTGACATTTCCTCCTCTCGATCTGACCAGCTTTTTCTCTTTTGCCCTGTGCGAGCAGACTCTTCAGAAAATAGGTCTTCGTCTTCTCCATCATCGCTCTCACCCAATTCCTCTCCGTCATCTTCCACGTCTGGCATGTCAAGGAGGGCGATGTAGGCATCTCGCTCCGTAGCCAGGCTGTCTTCGATATCTCCATCGTCGAGGACCACGATACCGCCCTTGCCAGGGGTATATGACCGGTCGATGCGGCCTGCCTTGACACCATTGGGACACCTCGCTGACAGCGGGACTGTGTCGTCGTCAGTCGCTTCCAAGGGAAAGCCGCCAAAGACGTTGCCCAGGTTCCACGGCCGGTGCGAGTCGATGACCCAGACCTCAACGCCGGAGAAGGTCGCCTCGTCACCCTCGGGTTCCAGGCCGAGCAGAGAACCCAGATCAACCATGCCGCCCACGCCGAGACTGACAACGACACCGCCGCTGCCGCCATTGGACTCCATCATGGGCAGGACCAGGTCCCTGCCGGCCCGTTCGAGGTCAGCATAGCCGGAGATGGGCTGGATCTTGTGGGGGATATAGTCGTGCTTCAGCAGTCGAGTAAGAATACGGCAGGCACAAAGCGCGTCGGGCTCGAGGGCGACCAGAATGAGGACAGGAGGCGAGAGAGGGTGTCGGGTATTCTGGAGGTGGAGGTAGAGTTTCGATATGAGGGAGCGCGGTAGATACATGGCTAGGAAGATCTAGACGCGTTGCCTCGGCCGTCACGTTCGCGGACTCATGGATCGAAGTAGCTGAGCGGCCTCGTTTCTGAACTGGTTTCGAAGGAGCAGAGGTCGGGCTGCGCTGTCAATGGCGTGTGGCTTCGGCGGAACCAAGTCGTGGTGTGCTGGTGGTCGGTCCAAGCAAATACCCAAGGAACACACAACGTTGGTAAGGGGTCAAGACCCGAGGTAAGACTTCGCCTCGACAGACCAACGGTGGTAGTGATCAAAAGAAATAAAGTTCTACGGCAGTGGTCTGCGGAAGTGTATAGTGGGATGTTGGTGGAGAGGATAGGCAGAGTAAGGTATAGCACGGTAGGGTATGGAAGTCACTGAAGGACCAGGAACCTTGAAAGTGGTGGTGTGAGAGACCCACAGTCGCGCTTCGACGCGGTTTGCTTCATTGGTTTTGACGCGACAAGTGCTGGTGATGCGCCCTGGACCCAGCACGAGCAAAGGTACGTACCGTTGGCTGGGGACTGGAGCCGCACCGTGCATCTGGCGGTGCATTCCACAACATGGCACTGTCTCTCGATGCCCCCATATCTTTAAGATGCCATGGTAGCCATTGCGTCTGCGATCGTGATGAATCCCACCCGAGATCTTCCTAGGGGGGACAAACGTAGAGATGACATCGCGCATGAACAGGTGCGTCGGAATCCCATAGTGCTGCTTTCTTGGAGGCGATGCATTCGACGCCAAAGCCACTCCGAAGGACCTGAAATACATACCATGTAGATGCCATTGCAGGTCAAAAGCAACCAAAGACAGAGCCGTACATGTCTGTCCTGACGTATACATTCACAGCCTGTCCATACCTTGAGCGTATGAGCAAGCTGTCTATGGGACATGGGCACAAGAACATGTCGCGCCAACGCTCTAATAGTTCATTGGTGCCAGGCATGGCATGCTCTCAACCTCGGATGCTAGTGTCAGAGCACGGTTCACTCTAGCAAAGAGTCTCATTCGAACCTCCCAGCGCCATACTGGAACATGCGCAAGGTACGCGCAGGGAGATTCCACCGGCTTTCAGGTGCGGCTTCAGGTAATTGAGCAAGGCACAAAGACAGGTACATAGGCAGGTAGGTTATGAAAGCAATTCGCAATAAACGAGGATCGGGATGCACAGGTCCTGGGTAGGTAGACGCACGTGTGGTAGTCGCCATGCAAGACGTTGATGCTGACTACAGACAACCGGGCCACTAAGACACCCTGCCAACAAGGCGCGTTGGCCGACATCAGGTCTCTGGGAGAGTGGCGGCAGGCACAGCCCATGGCTGCTTCCGAGGTACCTACCTACCTAGGTAGGTACATGGTTGGTAACTCCACAGGGGGCAGCTCTCGACAGCGCACTGGACTACGATACCGGCCCAGTACCGGCCCAGAACCGGCTCAGCGAGCTAAGGGGATCTGCCATGGCCCTACGTTCGTATGCATGCGCGAATCTTTCCTTCCTTTTCCAGTGCTTGGCTCATGGGTGGATGTCCAGAGTCGTCCATCAATTTGTGCCAATTCCTCTTCTCCCGCTCCCGCTTTGACTTCCTGGCCTCACAAGGAGACACCCAGGGACCATTTTCGCCTTCTTCGATTCCGGTTCGTACACGTCACCCAGCATCGCATGCTGCACATCCTGCAATTCGCCTTTTCTAACCGTGAACAAAAGCTTCCGAGGCTGGCGGCAGGCGGCAGGGAGACGTCGTGATCCATCCGACGATCGCCATCCTTGACATGCTTGCCAGCAGCAGTAGTAGCAATACTACCTTGCTCCCCGCAGCAGCCCACCACTCGCCAGTGACAACTGACAACTGATACTGACATTTCTCCCTGCATGAACGACCTGAGTGAGAGCCTTGGACGGAACCAGTCCCCGGGGCGCTGTCACATACCTATTGTAAGTACCTCTCTACCTCGTTACTTTTTCTCCATGTTATGCCAACGCCGAAAGCCCGAAATCCGGGCTCCTGGACCCCCCCTCCCCCCTCCTTGGCGCCGTCTTTTTGCCTTTCGGCACGACACACTGCCCGCGCGACAGTCGTCGTGCGCCGAGAGCGTGGTTCTTTTTTTCTGGCCACGCGAATGATGTAGCTCAAAACGAACGCTACGCTAGCATTTGACAGCTTCTCCACCCCCCTTCGAGAAACCTTGACAGACTTGCAGTCCGGCTGACTGATCCTTGCCGTTTTCATTTAGTGAGTTGAGCGAGCCTTCAAGCGCGGTCTGCCGCTGCATCAGGTCCACGGCTGCGTAGGTAAGGAAGGTAGGAGAAAGGGGGCGAGCCTCGCGCGAGTCCAACGCCCTCAAAAAAAGGTGACAAGAGGCCTCATTGCTGCAACCGGCCTGTGAGCCCCCGTCCTGTAGCCATGGAGTCGGGTTCCAGTGGGTATGACAATGACAGCGAGCCCATTGAGCCTGCGCCCCTCGACATGCTCGAGGACCACGACTTCACCGGCTTTTCCGACTACGGGACCTCACTCGGCACCTCCGGTTTCACCTCGCTGGCCTCCTACGTCCTGCGTCACTCCCATCAAGATGGCCGGTGCGTCTGCCCTCCTTCATCTCACCTCGTGATGCGCGCCTCATCGGTGCGCTGTGCTCCCCGTCGCAGGTAGGGTTTACTAACGAGTACTCTGCTCAGGCGCTATCAGTCCTTCCGGCCGGGCGAGTACCCCATCCCCAACGACGACATCGAGCAAGAGCGAGAGGAGATGAAGCACCAGATGATCAAGAGACTCTTTGACGGCAATGACTACCTCGCCCCCATCGGCGATCACCCGCAGAGGATCCTCGACATCGGGACAGGCGTCGGCTTATGGGCCATTGACGGTACAGCTGCCTGGTGAGCCCCCTCGGAAGCATGGTTACGTGCTGACATGGCAGTGACAGTGGCCGATAAGTTTCCCAGTGCCCAGGTCATCGGCGTCGACATCACGCCGATCCAGACGAGCTGCATACCGCACAATGTCATATGGAGGATAGACGACATTCAGAACACGACGTGGGACCCCCCATATGCCAACCTTGACTTTGTTCACCTTCGATCCGTCACAGTCATCTTGTCTGATCCAGTGGGCGTACTGGAATCGACATTCAAGTATGCACGAAACCCTCTCCAGCCACTGCCCTCAACGAACCACGTAAATCCATGAGCGCCCAGCTGACCAGGAAAACCAGACATCTCAACCCGGGGGGGTGGGTTGAGCTTCAGGACGTTGGATCAAACGTATTTTGTGACGACGACACCATGCCGTCAAACTATCCAATGCTCCATTTCATGGATCGCTTCGTCAACATGTTCGGTCCCGCTCACCGATGCAGTCTGGGCATCATGTCCACCATTCATGAAGATCTCGAGCGCATCGGCTTCACGCATATCCACGTACGCCGGCACAAGATGCCCATCGGAGCGTGGGCCAAGGATAGAAAGCGCCGCGAGATTGGTCTCTTCATGAGCAAGCACGTCCTCTGGCAACTGGTGCGTGCCGTGCTCGTCAAGTGGCCCGAGATGGGCCTCCAGTCAAAACAGGAGGCCGAGGCCTTGGAGCACGAGATCAGAAAAGCCCTCGAAGACCCTGGGATTCATGCCTACCTTCCGTGGTACTCGGTGTGGGCACAAAAGCCGTACACATGACGGACAAAGCGGACCCCACCTGCCGCCCTGTGCGTGCTCTGCTCCAAGAGTGCCAACTGCTCAGGACGGCGCTACTGGTTCCCTTCACAATCACCAGTCGGGTGTCTTTCTGACGCCACCTTCACCGGCGATTAGTGTACCGACGCCTTCCGACAGACACATGCGAGGGACACACTAAACGGGTGAAGAGCGGGCAGTTGGTGGTGGCACGGTGGGCGGCGACAGCCTACATCTGCCGGAGTCTGAACGGGTGCGGGCTAGATGTAGCCAGAACTCCCAACGCATCACCGTCGGAAGAGGATCCGCTCGGCCGCAAATGACATGCTGGGGTCGCACAGCGTACGCATTCGCGTCTGGGTGGACATGAACACACTGTCTATCATCTGGCCGAGCGCTGCCGAACCGTCAGCATATTTGGCTGCCGCTTACCGACTTTTGGGGTATTCATGGGCAATGCCTCGGAGAGAACCTTGCCCACCACGAACTACCTGCGCCACCCACAACTTCCGCCGTCCCAGCCAGCATCTCGAAGCTCTCTTCTTGTCCTATGGTTTCCTGCCATACGTCACATAAATCTCGAAGTAGCCATGATTCCTGAGGTCCCTCCATTCGGCAATCACCCTTGCGATGAACTCCCAGACTTCTTCCTTTTTCCAGCCCAGGAAACGCGTGAATAGCGCGAGCATGATCGACTCGAGACCAAAGACAAAATTGGCTTCAGTCCACTCGCCCAATGTCTTATATCTGACATCTTTTGGCCATTGATTAATCGGCCACTTGTACGGTATTCGAACAATGTCGACGAACCCCGCTGCCGACATCATCTCCGCCGCCCTGTCGCATAGATCGAGTCGGAACCCCGAGAGAGTGCCAGCCTCCATCATCAGCTCATTCCACCGACCAAGATCTGACTGTGGAGCAATGGTGTCGTCGTCACATTTCATCGGAAAATTTATATCCTGACATTCAACCCAGCCGCCGGGATTGAGGTTCCTGAGATGATGTCAGTTCCCTCGTCTAGCCGTTGATTGCACAACTCACTCAAAGGCCTGCCGATAAAAGTTGGGCCAGTCCCGAAAGGCACCCGTCATCATCATGGAATGAATGTAATCGAAATTCCTGGAGAAGCTCCACTCTTCTTCCAGGTCGTCGATTTCGTAATGGACATTCGGGGGTGTACTGATGTAGTCAGTATCAAAGCCACTGAGGGCGCGCTGGTGCACGCACAAACCGGGCTGCACGGGAGACAAATCCACGCCTATGACTTCCGACTCTGGGTGTTCTTCGCCTGTTCCTCTGTGAGCGAAGGTCTCCGAACGTCGTCGAAGACGCGTACCAAAGTCCAAAGCCCATATCCCTGGTCAGGTGTCAATCTCAGCGCAGCGTATTTTTGACAAGGCATGGCTACCCACCAACTCCACATCCCACATCGAGGACCCGGTGCGGCCGACATATCGGGGCAAAGCTCAGCCGATTGTCGAATGTGAGCTGGCACAATTGGTATTGGAATGCTTCGGTTTCGGTCAGAGAATTGCCAAACGGTCCATGACTTTGAGATAGTTATCCATACTTTGCCGGTCGAGCTCCTCCTGGCCGCCATGTTAGCTACACCCACAGTATAGATGTGTGTGCCAACAGGTCGTTTACCATGATGCTGGCATCACCGAAGCCTTACCTGATCCGTAGGCAATACATACTTGCCATCTTTGTAGCCGTGATATATGCGGCCATTCTCTTCTCTTGCGCGGACGATGCTCGACCTTAAAGAAGCCGTCGACGATGGCCATGTTTCCGACTAGATTATTAGCTTACCAAAGGTGATACAGATACAAATGTGCAAGAGTATCACACTGACATCGCCCAAGGCCGAATCGACATCGCTATTGTCGAGGATGCTGTTCACATCATGCGCATCAATATTCTGTGTCCTGGTATCAGCGAACAGACCAAAGTCACAAGGTCAGCAGAGTAGTGGCGCCGTCTCCCACCTCATCTGGCTCCAGATTCAGATAGATAGCATCTGCCCTGGACGGGAGGACGGTGTCCATGGAGGCCTCATTCTCCGGCAGAGACTCGTCCAGATCCATGGCTGGTTTGGCTGGTTCGCAGTCTCACTAGGGCCGGATCAACTACTGGAATCCCAGATAAGCGGTACCTGTCGGTTGCAGCAGCGTACATTTGACCCTGGAATAGTCGAATCGCGGGCGAGGCAGGATGCAGTCGAGCAGTCACCAGCAAATCAGGACGAAATATTCAGGAAAGGGAAGACTAGGCTGATATTTGAGTCTTCAGATGTGCTTCCGACCGTACCTCAATCCGGTGCGATCATACCATGTTCAAGACGGCCTCCCCGCGCCGTCGAGGGTACGAAGCAGCTGCTGTGGCCAGTCTGTGGCAAGTCATTGCCATGTTGAACCATTTGGAGTGAAGGTTAGGCAAGACAGGCGAGACAGGCAGGGAAGGGGATGGGCCGCACAAACCGACGAACGAGTTGCTGTGTCACTTTGGCAGCTTGGAGAAGGGAGAAGAAGGTGGGGAAAGGATGGCTGGGCGGGAAGCTGTGAGTTGGTTCGGCTGGAGGTCGCACAAGGTGGCAGCATTCTGCTGTCGCTCGGGATGGGCCAGGAAAATGCGTCGTATGCAGGCAGCCTTCATGTCTGTTGAGCGCCATGCCACCTGTCAAGCATGCGGATGAGAAGGCCTTTCGGAACGTGGTGTCGTCCGGGTCCGCTGTCCTAGACCGTGTCTGGCACGTCGAAAGCCACTTGAGTTCCGCCTTCTCCTGTGGTTTCCCTGTCGGATGGTCAGGGTGGCCAGCACCAGGCTGTCCAGGGATCTGCTGTCGCCACCGCCAACGGCGAGTATTGTTTGCCAACGGAAGCAATGAAGGGCCAAGCACGGCTTCCAACTCGCACTCGAGCCCGACTCGGTGCAGCAGCGTGATTGCGCGTCGATTGGATCAGGTCCGGGTTGCTGCATATCATAAAATCTGACGGCAGCAAAGGAGGGCCGAGCTGGTGCTGTTGATGGCCATTGTCACCGACGCTACTGCTTGCTGCGTTGGCCTACCATGGCAGAGATTATGCAACACGGCATCTTTTTAGGAGAGCTTTTACATACCTACGTACTGTGGATGTAACGAGAAAAGCTCCCACCCAGCTGCAGTATGGACGCCGTGACCCCTTGCCGTTGGACCAGTCGCCGGCTTGCCGAATGATGCGGGCTGGCTAGCAAACATGGGATTATGCAGCCACTGCCGATACTTGTATGAAGATGCACGCTCCTGTAGTTATCTGCAGAGCAACCGCACCCACTGGAGCTCGGATTCTCACGTCGAGAGTCACAGCACATGGAGCATAGGCCTATCATCCATCGTAGAACTGGCCGTCGTCGGGTGTCTTTTCTCGTCTCCCAAGCGGTAAAAGTGCCAGGATGGTGGCAGACGAGACAGGCCGTTGGCTGTGTGGAGGAGCAGGCTGTCGATGTTGCATCAACTTCGGAACCCGTCAGTGAGGGCTTGACGTGCTGGGTCGAGAGTGTTCCCAGCTGCGTGACTGATTGGATTTCCCTCGGAGTCAACTTTTCGACGAGTTGGGCACGTCGTTCGAGCCAAGGAAACGGCGACCTTAGGTCGATAGTTTCAGGCACACCTTCGGTTGGGGGCTCTTTCTTTTTGCGGTTCCCGTCTGCCTGGTACCTACCTCGGCTGGTTGATTGTGGCCCAGCTTGTCAGGCGCAGGCGCGTTTGAGAGTGCTGTTGCTCCTTCTGCAGGAGAGGGTTAAGATGGCCAGTCACGTACGCGGCTTTCTGGGCACTTTGTTGCTAATCGGTCACTCTTCACATCCTGAATGATCTTTTCAATATCAAGTTTGACCAAGATTTGGTCTTTCTTCTACCTTGGTCTACCTACCACCTTGACACCCGGGCAGTCTCTGTCAATCGAGGCATCGCCGGGTCGTACGGTTCCGCTCCTGCCCGGCTCAGGAGAATACCTTAATGCCAATAAGTCGTCTCCCTCACATTCACCTCGCCTTGCCTGTGTTGGCAACAAGAGTAGGGCACGCGCAGAGAAAAGAGCTTACCCGATTCTCTGAAGGCCGCGTACTTTTACTATCTCTTTTCCCTCCCCCGCCCACACGCTTCAGCTTGTTATCCAGGTCTCCATGACACCTCGCCCTATGCTACCTCCTCATTCAACCCTTACCTTTTCCTACCAACACCTACCCAAGACGTCCCTGTTCCCCGCTACGGGGCAGCAAACATTTGCGAGCGACTGCTCGAAGCCGCCACCACCAACAACCCTGTCACTCACGGCATATAAACGGTCTCTGGCTACCGGAGAAATAAGGTGAAAGAGACAAGCAAGACGATACTAGACGAGACAGGGCGGCATTTACCGGCAGGAAAGACACACTCCTATCACCATGGCGTTCTCCGGTACGGCTGTCCCAGGCCCGCACTTGTTGACCTTGTTGCTGCTCGTCAGCGCAGGCATGCTACTGTCCCTCCTCGCACATGTTTACCGGGCCTGGTACCGCCTCAGACACATTCCCGGGCCACGATGGGCTGCCTTCAGCAAATGGTGGATGCTACGTAACACACTGAGTGGGAAGATGCATCTCGCACTGAAGCGAGCCTGTGATGAATACGGTATGTCAACCAAACCAAGAAAGAGGAAAGTGGAAGAGGAAACTCCCGCCTGGGACGATGGGAGGACTGGGCAAAGGACCATCGGAAACGAACGTCGTAGTTGCTACCCAGTGTGGCCCCGAGGTGTCCGGCAGGGAGACGAGGCCGCACCCAACATCATGACATCTACTGTATAAGGGGGAGATGACAGGCCCCTCTTTGTTTCGCTTTGCTTCATCGCTTTCGCCAGGCTGACCACAAGGGGTGCGCCATCTGGCTGTAGGTCCGGTCGTCCGCATCGGTCCCAACGACTTGGTAACCAATGACTCGGAGATCTTGCGCCGCATGTGGGCGGTGCGCTCGCCATACCGCAAGGGCGACTTTTACGACGCTATCAGGCTCGACCCGACCAGGGACAACATCATTTCCATGCGCGACGATCATGCACACAACGAACTGCGCGCCAAAGTGGCCATTGGTGTAAGTACCGCCCCTGTACTGTTGGACACCGGGTCTTCTCTATTTCTCATCCTGCGTTGCCTTGCTCGTCAAGGGCGACTGCCTACCCTCACAGCAATATGACTGATCATTTCCCAGTATTCGGGCAAAGAGAACGAGTTCCTAGAGACAGCCATCGACGCGCAGATGTTGTCGTTGGTACGGTTGATCGAGGAGCGGTACGTTTCGACGCCTGGTGTCTTCCGTCCCATGGACTTTGCGAGCAAGATGCAGTACCTAACCCTCGACATCATCACATCGCTGGCCTTTGGCGAGTGTTTTGGCTACCTCTCGCAAGACAAGGACGTGCACAACTACATCCAAATCACCGAAGAGAGCATGCCCGTCATGATGACCTTGTCAGTGTTGCCCAGCCTAGCCGCTATCATGCAATCTCCCTTCTTTCGACGTGCCATGCCCTCGGAGCACGACCGTGTGGGTCTGGGCAAATTCATAGCGTAAGTTTGGCCTGACTTCCAGTCTGTATTCAAGGCTATCAGTAGACAAACGATGCTGACCCTGACATGACAGCGTGGCCAAGAAGGTAGTTGCTGAGCGCATTGCCTCCGGCAAGGTCCAGAGGGACATGCTCGGCTCGTTTCTGGCCCATGGGCTTACCCCTGAGGAAGCTGAGGGCGAGGCGCTTGTACAGGTTCTCGCCGGCTCGGACACAACCGCCACAGCCATGCGCATGACCATGGTCTATCTCATGACGACGCCCACGGCCTACAATGCCCTCACCAAGGAGGTACGCGACGCATGTGACAGAAATCTCCTATCAGTACCTGTCCAGGACGCCGAGGCGCGAAGACTTCCCTATCTTCAGGCCACGATCCGCGAGGGCCTCCGTGTCTTCCCACCCGTCACGGGCCTCATGTCGGTGGCAGTCCCACGTGGGGGCGATGTCATGCACGGTATGAGCATCCCGGAGGGCACGCAGATCGGATGGTCAGCTTTCGGAGTGCTCCGCAGCAAGGCCGTCTTCGGTCCAGATGCCGACACGTTCAGACCGGAGCGTTGGCTGGAGGCGGGTGACGAGGAGCTCAAGGCGATGACAGCGCAGTGGGAGCTGGTGTTTAAATACGGAAAGTGGCAGTGTCTCGGCAAGACTGTGGCACTGCTTGACCTGAACAAGATCTTCGTCGAGGTTGGTTCGCACATGATCGGTGGGGACTCACAGATACGATGGTATACTGACGATGCGTTGCAGCTTCTTCGTCGCTTTGACTTTTCACTGATCGACCCCATTGAGCCGATGAAGTCATACTCAGCTGGTATTTTCATTCAGTCGAACCTGATGGTCAAGGTTGTTGGTCGTGGCCCATGAATGCTGAGGAAAAGTCTGGATCGAGCTGACACTTCCCTTTTCCCCCTTCGTCTTGTTTGCTTTTCTGCTATGTCTAATATGTCTTCTTCTTGGCTCTTTCAATGCGGGTTAGTGTTTTCTGAATTCTCTGCTTCGCAGCACGTCGGGCAAAAGCCTTCTGGTCGGCCTCCCTGGCTGGTCTGCTCATGCCCCTGTCATTGAGGGGCTCCGACCAGTCCAGGCTGTTTCTCCCTTCTTTTGCGTTAGCTGGGGTGGAATACTGGGCAGCCTCAGATCGCGACGGCTCTCTCGACCCAGCACAGCATGCCTGACGGGGCAAAGAATCGGAAAGAAGCCGAATGGTAGTAGGACATGAAATTGCAGAGTGTTCTTGGTTCGGTGGGTGACAAAGCAGGATACGGTGGATGATTGCTTCTGGCTGGGTCCAACATGATGGTTCTGGATTCGGAGCTAAGGAAAACTGGTGGCAATGTCGTCAAGGTCAGAACGGAGGAGGAGATCGTCGTCTGTTCTTGCATCACTGCGCTTAGATTGCAGCCTCAATAGGAATCTTTCTCGTGCGCCAGACGATCAGATGAACGGGTGAAGAGATGGCCGGTGAGGACAAGTGACTGTTCGTCAAGTGTTGTGCACCAGCGGAGGCTGGTTATTACGTTGGCTCGTGGGCAGAAAGAGGCCGTGAGAGATTGGTTCCCTTAGGGGGAAGGCAGGCGCACACACGGCCGGGGAATTGCTCGGGGGCTTTGAAGCTGGGGACGATTGAGGTCACATGCAGATTCTGGGGAGAGTTTTTTTTTCTCTCTCCCTCCCCTTCTTGGAGAGCTTTCTCGTTTGGTGCTGGTGCTGGTGCTGGTGCTAGGTAAATTGAGGAGGAGCCGGTATTTGGCCGTTGCAGACGATGACCGGGATATGGCCGTGGATTTGCACGAGGTTGAGGGTGATGTGAGTGGTCAATGGAGGTGATCGTCTGATGTAGCTCGTCGGCCCAAGAGCTTAGTACCGTGGAGGCCAAGCTGCGAGCAGGGGGCATGGGGGAGAAGATGTGGTGATGAGGGGGGGGGGCTACAACGATGGAAAAGGCCGCGAGGGGAATGAGGTTTCCCCAGGATCCCCGCACTCGCTAAGAGGTATCCATGACGTAGGTACAGGCACACGGACAGGCACAAGCACAGGCTTGTTAGGGAGGTGGGAGCACCATCCAAGCACTACTCGGGCTTCTTCGCCCAGCGTCTTCAGGCCTCGCCTTACCTGTCACCTGCTAAGACGGCTCGTCGAGGGCGCTAGCTGGGTCAGCTGGCAACAAGCCTTCAGGAGGGGAGACCCCCCCCTCCCCTTCTCCTCCCCCGCAGCGCCGCGGCCAGACTCCTCCCCACAATAACGCCATGGTCGGGCCGTGGTGGTGCAGCCTCCTTCCTTTCCATCCAAGTCACTCCTGCTGTTCGTTCCCTGGCCTGGTCTTGGCTTCCGGAGCACACCAGCTGAGGAGAGTTGGCGTTCATCTGCTCAGCCTCTTACTAACCGCTTCGTGCTGTCCAGCCTGGTATGGCAAGTTTGTTAGCCGCACGACGTGTTGATGCTCATGTCGCTGGAGGCACCATCTCTTTGGCCTACTATCTTGGCGCGGGCCACTCATCTCAAATGGAGCAAGGCGGCGACCGTTGACGCCGGCCCACGGCTTGCCATGCCCCCATGACCATGCAGCCGTTACAGCAACTCTACATGTACGCACTCCGAATTGAACCACCCTCTGCGGTACCTCGGCGGAACACCTCACCTCCGCTAGGCTCCGCTATTATATGTTGACCTGCCAAGGATCACGGACATGGACATGGACCATGGGCCATGAGCCCTGGGCAGCTCTTTCGTCCCGACTTCTTGGCCCCGACCTGGCCCTTAGCTGAAGCCTCACATGCATGGCCCCAGGTTTGATACCACAAATGGTCACCTTCAGTGCTTCGCCTAGGTATATATAGATGGCTTGATCATCATGTCCCCGAAACACTCCCACGTGGGTTCTCTCCTTCTCAGACATTGCGCATAGCTTCAACCAAGGCCCCACTGAATCATGGTCTCTCTCCGCTCCCAGCTCGTGGCTCTGGCCGCTGCCCTGGCCATCCCCGCCGTCTCTGGCCAGGACCTCGAGGACTTCATCGCCAAGCAGCGTCCTCTGTCACTGACCAATGTTCTCAACAACCTTGGTGCCGCTGCCGGCGCCGCCCCCGGCCTGGTCATCGCAAGCCCCTCCAGGACCGACCCTCCCTGTAAGTCGGAACCGTGGATGGCCATGTTTGGAGGCTTCGTTGCTGACGGTTCGGCCACCAGACTACTACACTTGGACCCGTGACTCGGCCTTGACCTTCAAGATGCTCATCGACGAGTTCATCCACGACCCTGTCGCCAATGCCAACCTCGAGAAGCACATTCGTGACTACCTTCGCGCCCAGGCCATCCTACAGACTGTCGCCAACCCCTCCGGCGCCCTGCTGCCCTCCGGCCGCGGTCTCGGCGAGGCCAAGTACGAGGTTGACGGCTCGCGCTTCAATGGCGCCTGGGGTCGCCCCCAGAGGGACGGACCCCCTCTGCGCGCCGTCGCCCTCATCACCTGGGCCAACTGGCTCGCCGATTCGGGCGACGAGGGCGAGGAGGAGGCGAGGGACATCGTCTGGCCCGTCATTGCCAACGATCTCGCCTACACGGGACAGTACTGGAACTCGACCGGCTTCGACCTCTGGGAGGAGGTCTCCGGCTCCAGCTTCTTCACCACCCAGGCTCAGTACCGCGCTCTGATCGAGGGTGCCGAGCTCGCTGAGCGCCTCAACACGACGTGCGGCCCCGCCTGCGCCGAGGCCCCTGCCGTCGGCTGCTTCCTCAACTCGGACAGCTACTGGAACGGCCGTCACCACATTGCCAACATCAACACCAACACCCAGCGCTCCGGAAAGGACGCCAACACCATGCTCGGCGCCAACGCCGCCTTTGATATCGCCGCCTCCTGCGACAGTGCCACCATTCAGCCCTGCCACCCTCGCGCCCTGGCGTCTTTCAAGCAGTGGGTTGACGCCTGGCGTGATCCTGCCGAATACCCCATCAACGAGGGTATCCCCAGCAACGAGGGCATTGCCATCGGCCGCTACACCGAGGACATCTACTACAACGGCAACCCTTGGTATCTCATCACCCTCGGTGCTGGCGAGTTCCTCTTCAACGCCGCCCACCAGTGGAAGGCCCACGGCTACATCACCATTGACAGCACCTCGCTGCCCTTCTTCCAGGACCTCTGGCCCGAGGCCAAGGTTGGTACCTTCAAGCGCCCCTGCTCCAAGAACCCCAAGGCTCCCTTCAACGTCATTGTCGAGGCTGCCAACCGCTACGGCGATTCGTTCCTCTCTGTCGCTCAAAAGTACACCCCGGCCGACGGCTCCCTCGCCGAGCAGTACAACCGTGACCCTCCCTTCGAGCCCCAGAGCGCCCGCGACCTGACCTGGTCCTACGCCGCCTTTGTCACCGCCGCCGCCCGCCGCGCCGGCGAGTTCCCCCCCACCTGGGTCCCCGCCAAGCTGCCCATCCCCTCGACCTGCGCCGCCTCGTCCGCGCGGGGCACCTATACCCCTGCCACCGCCGCTGGCGCGCCCGACCTCGGCGAGGTCCCCTGCGCTGCGCCCGTCACCTTCCGTGTCGACGCCAGGACCTACTACGGCGAGGACATCTACGTCGTCGGCGGTGCGCCGTCTCTCGGCAACTGGAACGTCGAGAACGCCCAGCCCCTGACCGCCGACGGCTACACCGACGCCCGGCCGCTCTGGGCCATCGACGTCGACCTCGACGCCGCGGGCCAGACTGTCACCTACCAGTTTGTGCGCAGGCAAAACTGCGGCCAAGGCTACATTTACGAGACGGTCAACAGGACCGTCGACGTGCCGGCGTGCGGTGTCACGACGCCGACCGTCCTCGAGGCCACGTGGACCGGCCCCGTGGGTACGCCTGGAAACTGCTAGAGAGCAGGAAACGTTGCCGTGAACAGGCGCGGAAAAAAATGTCATAATGTTCGCATGAGAAGGACGGGAAATAACGTGTACATGTCGCCGCCGACCCCGCCCTTTGGTAGCTTAAGAGGGCGGGAGGGGGGGAGGGACTATTATTACTGAACCCCGCCCCCTTCCCTCGTATTTTTGTCCTGTTCGTAGAAGTACATAGGTATCCTTTCTAAACGGGCCTGTATGTATATACGTTTCGCCCTTTGCGCCCTCGCTGTGGGA